TTAATCCGAACAATTCCTCAGAGCACTCCCCATGGTAAATGCGAAAGAAAATGCTAAGAGATGCAACATCTCTTCGCAGTGCCAATGAGTCGAGCCATCGGAAAGGACTCTGTCGTCGACGATTCGAGCCGCTCTGCGCTGGATGGGGTCAAGTGGAAGGAGCTGGCACTGGGGAGCCCCAGCCCAGAGATGGGAACAGTATTCCATGTGAGGCCGAACCTGCGCCTTGTAAAGTTGCAGGCGTTGAGCCGGCATGAAATACTGTCCCGCTCTACTGAGCACGCCAAGCTTTTTAGAGGCCAATTTGGCCTTCTCTTTCAAGTGACCACGAAACTGCACGTTACTCGATATGTCGACGCCGAGGATTCCGATACTGGCTGAGGCAACAAGGGGAGTACTTTGAAACTGAGGAGATACGACAAAGGGGTTCTTTTTAGCGGTAAACGCGCAAACTTGTGTCTTCTAAAGATTAAACTGGACTAGATTTAGTCGCCCCCAATCCGAGACTTTGTCCAGCAAAGACTCGACTTCAGACACAAGTTTGTTCCGGTACTCGGTGACGTTTTCCCGAGAAATATTGGCACGGCCGGTGTATAGAGCATCACCAATGCTGTCATCTGCATAGCAATGAATGCTACCGGCTTGCAACATATCATTGATATGCAGAAGAGACAGCGTTGGTGATAGCACGCAGCCTTGTGGAACACCAGCGTTAATAGGCTTGTAGTCGGAGCATGCACCGTCTACAACGACCTTGATGCTCCGATCTGCAAGAAAGCTGGTGATCCAATTGCATAATTTCTCGGGAAGCCCATAGGAAGGGAGCTTCGAAAGAAGCGCTTTGTGCCAAACCCGATCGAAGGCCTTCGCAATGTCCAAACTAACGGCCAATGCCTTCCCCTTGGACTCTACTGCCTCCGCCCATCTATGAGTTAAGTAGACCAGAAGATCACCAGCTGATCGACCCCGACGAAAACCGTACTGGTGGTCACTAATCAGCTGGTGATCCTCAAGGTACCGCATGAGGTGGCAGTTTATAACGGATTCCATTATTTTGGAGAACAAGGAGGTTATGGCGATAGGCCTGTAGTTGGACGGGTCTGAGCGGTCGCCTTTTTTAGGGATCGGGTGGACAAAAGCTGTCTTCCATGATTTCGGGACTACGCCTAGGGAGTAGGAGTACCGGAAAAGACGCGTTAGAACCGGCGCCAACTCCAGAGCACACGTCCTCAGCACAATTGGGGGGATTCCGTCAGGCCCACTCGACTTGTGGATGTCAAGGGAGAGGAGTGCTCTGCGAACCGAGCGCTGTGAGAACCGCACATCCGGCATGGAGCACTCACACCGCGGGATGGTCGGCGGTGTGTTCTCCCTGTCATCAACAGTCGAGTTGGACGCAAAAAGGGAGCCTAAAAGGTCGGCCTTCTCTTTTGCGTCATGGGCCAGTGAGTCGTCCTCCCTGTGCAGAGATGGTAGTGATGGCTTACAGAAATTCCCTTGGACAGCCTTGGCGAGAGACCAGAATGCACGGGTTCCCGAAGGAAGGCGAACTAGTTTCTCGCCAATTCTGCCTATGTGCTCTGAGTTTGCCTTGGCAATAACTCTTTTGAAGGACCTGGAGGCGAAGTTATACTTCTTTTTAAGTATGCTGGTGTTTACATCCCGAGTCGCCGAAGCCGCAGCCCAGGCTTGATAACACTCCTGTTTACTGCGTAAAGCAGTCTTACAGGAGCGACCAAACCAAGGCTGAGATCTGCCTCCGATGGTTACCACAGATTATGGAATAAATAGTTCCATTCCCTGTAGCACCACATCAGTGACAGAGTCAGCAACAGCGCTGGGATCATCCGGCGAGAAGCAAACCCGCCCCCATGGGTAGGAAGCAAAGAAAGACCGCATTCCGTCCCAATCTGCCGACCTGTAATGCCAAACACGGCGGCAACCTGCAGAACGCAACCGCGAGGGGAGCGTGAGTGGCACCACACTCCGGATCAGACAATGGTCCGAAGAGCCAAGAGGGGCATCGACGGAAACCTGATATCCGTCCGGATGAGAGGTCAGCAGAAGGTCCAACAGGGAAGGTGTATGATCCTCAACATCTGGAATCCGCGTAGGCGATGTAACCAGTTGTGTCAGACCATATGCCAAGGCAAAGTCATAAACAGATCTCCCCGCATGATCGGTTAAACGTGAACCGAGCCATTCGGCGTGGTGGGCGTTAAAATCGCCAAGGATCACGATCTCTGCGGATGAGACCTGTTGTAGCAAGGAATCTCTAGCCATTTGGACGTGGTCAATGAGTCGCTCTGTTTCGGCATTACCGCTATGGGACCTATAGAGGCACCCGTAGACGCGCGGATGGTCGTCGCTGTCTACGCGTAGCCTAAGGATGGACAGGTCCGAACCTTCAAGACTGCCGAGGCGTCGAGAACAGATGTCCTCTCTGACATACACGCAAACTCCAGCCCGAGGCACAAAGGAGTGCTCCAATTTGTACCCCGGGTAGGAGAGATACTAAGTATCAGCCGGAGAGGACACCTGCGTCTCGGTCAGAAAGAGCAAGGCCGGCTTCGCCGTCTCAAGATGGTAGTGGACGGCGTTTAGGTTCGAGTGAAGTCCCCTGATGTTGCAGAAATTCACGGATAGCGTGGCAGGGGTCGCCTTGGTCTTGTTGCTCAGTTTGCCCCGAGCAGTTATTGTGTTGAGCGGAATTTTGCCCCCCCCAGAATACGCGGGGCAGCCTGAGCACCCACACTCAGGAGTGGAATAGCATGGTCGTGGATGCTCAGCGAGGGATTCTCCAGGGGTACTGGTACCCTCCTGGGGTAAATAGCTGTAGCTATAAAAAATAGCTGTAGTACTATCGGAAATAGCTGTTAAATATTTGATTTCTTCAGCTACGTCTGTAGCATCTGAACGAATTGCTTCTACAATCAATCTTTTAGTGCCCAATAATCATAGTACAAGTAGTAAACAGCTGAACATATAAAACAATGAGTATTTCTTAAAACTCTTACTGAAAAATATTCGTAAACATAATTGTCTTATATAAATTAAACAATAATTACTAAGAACTATAACCTAACATTTTCATACATTTATAATTTAATTTGTTTAATAAATATACTAAATTATAAACTGTGTAATCATTTTTGAGCTGAGTTTTTGTTTTAAATAAAGCCGATATATCGATATATAGCTGTTTTTTGATATATAAAACTCCGATATTGATATATTTATAATTATCGATGTATTGAAATTTCAATATTTTAAAAATATCAACAGTCCTAGTTTGAACTGATGAGTATAGAATAGAATAAAATAGAATATTTTTTATTCAATATTGATTATTACATAATTCTTATTGAAAGTCATTTTTTATTTACCACTGGTTCGAAAAATACCTCTGTCCTGGGAAGAACCAGCAAGAAACCCAGCGGGACTTTTTTTTTCAAACATAATTTCGTTTATACAATTTTTAAATGATTTTCCATAGAACCAGCATGGTGGCGATCACCTTATTCCCAGGGGTTATTTTCATTCATGTATTCCTTGATATTATAATAACCCTTTTTGTACAGTTTTTCTTTAATAAAACTTTTAAACTTGTTTATTGACAAACTTTGGGATTTTGTTGTAAAAGCGTATACATTGACCCAAAAATGAATAACTGATTCTGTGGAGTCAAGTAACTGGTATTACAAGCTTATGTTTGTTCCTAGTGTTTAAAGTATGCACATCCTTATTCTTATTAAAGCTATTTATGTTTTTATGTACATACATTACATTTTCATAAATATATTGCGATGCCTAAGTTAATATGTTTATTTCTTTAAATTTTTGTCTGAGGGACTCTTTACAATTTAGGTTATAAATCGCCCGAACGGCTCTCTTTTGCAAAACAAATATAGCTTCAATATCAGTCGCATTACCCCATAGCGAAATTCCATAAGACATTACGCTATGAAAGTAACTAAAATACACTAACCTAGCTGTCTCAACATCTGTGATACTTCTAATCTTTCTTACAGCATATGCTGCAGAACTAAGTCTGCTTACTAATTTAGATATATGGGGGCCCCATTGAAGTTTCGCGTCAATAGTAATACCGAGAAAAACAGTGGTATCCACAAGACTCAACTCCTCCACATTTAACAGCACATTGGTATTCGAATGTTTTACATTAGGTGTTATATATTTAATACACTTTGTCTTATTGCCGTTTAAGAGCATATTGTTGGCGTTAAACCAATGTACTAATTTCGATAGAGCATTATTTACATCGTCATAATTAATTAACTGCCGTTTGAGTTTGAAAATTAAAGAGGTATCGTCAGCAAATAATACTATATCGTGATTGTCCCCTACAAAATAAGGTAAGTCATTAATATAGATTAAAAACAGGAACGGGGCCAAGAATCGAGCCCTGAGGAACGCCCATTGATACTACCGATCCGGAGGAACCTTTATATAGTTGAACTGATGTCAGTTTAACTGACCGTGTGTATCGGCCATTAAAAATGTGAATGTTTTTACCAAATAATTATCATGAATTACAGTTGAATACTTAAGAGTATAAATAGGTTTAAATCATATTATATTTTAACTTTACCTGTATGTCTTCATGTTTTTTTCATTTATTAGCTTCAGTTTTCCTTTAGGTTTATAGTTTGTAATTAATTAACCGACTGTCCCAGAAGGAGGGTAAAGTTTTTCGAGAGTATATATATGTATGTATGTATGTCTATTTCTTAAGCACGCTTTGTAACCTAAACCGATTGATGGATTTTAACATATGATTTAACACATGGATTCGTCTTATTTGAGGGAGTGACATAGGCTAAATTATTTTTTTTCTTTTAATTTTTTTTCTGCTTGCATCATTTTTACGCAGTTGATTTTTTATTACTGGTTTTGACGATAGGATTTATTAATAATTTCAAATATCCGTTTTAAAGAAGATCGATTATTTTAAAAACTTAATTAAATTCTGTAACTACCTTACTCGATAGGGGCGTTGGTCGTAAAACCACTTTCCCTAGCTCCTTGTCCTCTAAAGCGAGGACTCCAGGATTTTCTGTGTATAGCTTCACTTTCACAGCTGGCAATGGCTGCGTTGTGCTAAAGTCGCCTTGGGTATCCCACCTGTTATAAACAATTAGGAGGCTTTTAAATTGTCGTCTTAAATGGATAATAATAACATTATATAAAAATGTATGACTCTGTTTGTCCCGTACGCGTTCCTATACCATTCATTTAATTACTATGAAACTTTGGTGATTTGGAGTCTTATGAGAACCAATAGTTTTCATAACGAATAAATATTTCTTATTAAATTAAAAAAAAATGGATTAGTAAGCTGAAGTGGCAAGGGGTCGGCCATATGCTGTAGGTTTACCACACGCAATACTCACACACATATATTCCAACACACACTCATCCACTCACACACTTACACGAACATACGAACACACACACACACACACACACACACACACACACACACACACACACACACACACACACACACAAAACAAGGGCTTAAAATATATATTTTTTTAAATTTCTTATTTATATTTCTGTACCTGTTTCACTATTACTACTAAATAACTAAATTATTATATAGAAATTAACCTTATGACAAGGCTAACTTTAAGGGGAGGAATTGGTTCCTGAAACACAGTTACACTAGCTCAGGGACTAGGGAATCAATTAACTTATGTAAAAAGATTGTTATTAAATAAATAAATAAATAACTATAGCTCGAAGAACCGACAACCGATGGGAAAAAAGGTTCTCGAGTGGCAGCCTCGTACCGACAGGCGAGATGTAGGGCGTCCCCCCTCTAGATGGAGTGACGATATGGTAACACATGCTGGAAGGTGATGGATGCAGGTGGCTCAGGACCATGCTTTGTGGCGTTCCTTGAGGGAGGCCTATGTTCAGCAGTGGACTTGCGTAGGGCTGTAATGATGATGACGATGAAATATTTGTTTGTTTGTTTAATTTCTATTCGTACCATTTGTTAACCATACGTTTGAAGCCAGAAGTTTGAGTGAGCATTCATAGTCTATAATTATTTACCGCTTAGTTTACCCGTATAATGGCAGCAGGATTCCTCCAGCTCTACCATACACCCCTTGTCGAATCTGCCACTCACATCTGCAGCATTCCGCCTTCGCTACTACAAAAAAATATCGTCCAAAATCTTACATGGGCTTGGAGGCTTCCGCTTGGTCGGTCTGCAGTTTATCGCCGCCTTCCACCTCCATCGTGCAGTACACGATTCTGTTCGGCGCTAGCGACTTTAGACCTTTTACTTCCATAACAACCACCTAGAACGTATCCAATGGTAATTTATTTCGTATTCTGCCATTTTATACGATATCTGTGATCCTTATTTTAAGGTTTGAACTCAGCAAACAAGACACTGAAAGACTAAAACTGGTAAATTGATTATCTTTGGTATTTCGATAACAAACCGTATAATTATTATAGCTTAGGTATGCATATAATAGTAAGTATGTTTGTTATTTGCATTAGTAAGTATATTCGTTAATAGTAAATAGTAAGTTGCAATAGTGTTATTAAATTTTTAACAAATAATAGAATATTTTCTTTTTAACCGACTTCAAAAAGGAAGAGGCACTCAATTCGACTGTATTTTTTCTCTTTTTTTATGTGTGTTACCTCATAACTTTTTTCTAGGTAAACCGATTTTTGCATACTTTTTTTATTTGAAAGCTGTTGTTTCTCATGTGGTCCGATATATTTGATCAAGGTCTGACCAGTAGTTTTTGAGTTATCCTTAATAATTTATATTGAAGTCGGTTGTACAATTTTTTTTTAACTTCAGCACTTGTTAACTTTACCATATCCTTCTTTCTTTATTCTATTTCGTACACAGTAGAAGTTGAAGATAATAAAACACGCAAATAAAAAGTACAGAGATAGGCTTAACCCTACAAAAATTCATTTTTCAGAAAACCATTGAGGAAAGAAAAATTGTGCTATAGTACAGTCAGAACAAGTGTGCATACATATACAAAATAACATGATTAAGTAAAAATTAATTTTATATTTAAACGAGAATTAATGTTATATTTTTAGAAAAAAAAAACTTTGGTAATAAAAATCCACTCCACCAACGTAAGCATATTTATCTAATAATTAATAAAATATAAATAAAACTTACTAACTGGTTGGTACCTTTATGGTTAGTGATTTATTAAAATCGAAAACTATATTTTGTTTAAATAAAACTAATTTTACGGATTTTATCGCGTATATTAAGTTATTTTTTATATATTCCCGATGTAGACGTAGACGATACTTTCACAATTTTACCATCTGACAAAGTAACTGTATCTTTAAACCACCTTAATTCTATAAACCCTAAAATACAATTCACAATGGAGTTAGAGGCAAACAATACTTTAGCTTTCTTAGATGTTTTAGTCATCCGAAATCCTGATAACACTATTGGTCATACTGTGTACAGAAAAAAATACCCATACCAACCGATATCTAAATGGTGAATCGCACCATCATCCTTCACGGTTAGCTACTGTGGAAAAATCTTTGTTTCAGAGAGCACGAGGGATCTGTGACAGAAAACATCTGGCCGCCGAACTTCAGCACGTCGAGCAAGTACTGCAAGACAACAAGCTTCGGGTCCCGCGCCTACGTCACAGTGACCGAGTGAAGCCAGCCACAGTCGAGTGTGTGCCTGCTGTACTACCCTATGTCAGAGGAGTTACAGACAAGGTTGGCTACATCTTAAAGCGAGCTTCCATTAAAACATACTTCAAGCCGCTGAAGAAGATTGGTCAATTTTTACCATCCGTCAAGTGTCATATCCCTCTACAAGATGCAGGAGTATACAAGCTGGATTGTAAATGTGGTCTCTCGTACAAATGACAAACAAAAAGATCTATAAAAACCCGCGTTAAAGAACATATAGCTGACGTGAAGCACCGACGTATCGGGAAGTCTGCAGTTTGTGAACATGTTCAAGATCACCCCCGCCATTACATTAGATTTGATAAACCACAAATCCTCGCAAAAGAACACCGATTCCTCCCAAGGATGATTCGCGAGGATATTGAAATTAAAAAACATCCTAATTTCAATAGAGAAGATGGGTGGGTGCTGCCATCTGCTTGGGATCCCATAATTAATAAAATCAAATCCAAACCCAAGTATACCACTGCTAGACTTCAAGATACTGTAAGCTCATTCTGCGTAAATCGAACCAAAAATTGGTATTAAAAAACTGAAGGTAGCCGGGCTAACTATGACAGCAGGACGTCACACACCTCAGTCCCCCGTGACCATGTGTGCTGCTGATGTGCTGGAAAGCACCCGAAACGTCGGGAATATAAAAAAAACATAAGTTAATATACGCGATAAAATCCGTCAAATTAGTTTTATTTAAATGTGTAGTGTTCGCGTAAATATAAGAAATCACTATATTTTGTTGTGAGAATTATCGTCTTATAAAAACTCAGCTACTACACGAATTACCGTTAGATAATTATCGTGTAGTGGCGGTGTAAGAATATACACTGCCCCATATCATCCTGTGGGTGTCGTAACATGCGACAGAGGGTAACAAATCAGGAGATGGACAGCAGCGTCTGCCTAATAACGACTGAAAATAAAAAATAACACTGCGCTTGCTAACTCGCTTGCCAAGTGTGGCAATTATGGCAAATATCCCCCCATATGAGACAATCAATGGGGGAGGTCTGTAGTCAACAGTCGACTTTAACTGACTGTAATGCTACACGCTACACGAATGTTCGTAATCGATTATTCAATTTTTTTTTATAGGATAAGGATGACAAACGAGCACACAGTCCACCCGATGGTAAGTGGATGCTGCGGCCCATAGACATCTACATCTATCTTCGATTAAGAATCAAAATGCAGATGCGTTGTCACCAGTGAGGACTAAGATGGAATGCCTCGTTTCCAGTAAAAAGGGTCTCCGGTTCTCTACACTCACCATACGAAACACAGCAGCGTTAAGCTACTATTTTACGCTGGTATTATGTGAGAGCGTGGTCCTTCCCCGGTCGAGCCGACCCATTCGTGATACAACCATAATATAGCTGCAGCATGGCTCTACCACGTAAAATGGTAATAATTTAACTCCGATTCAATTATAATAAACAACATCAGCGGGGTTAGCCAAGATAACATTCTCGGATCGTTACTTTAGTATTAGCGTCACTTTTTACGTAGATGTCACTCATACATCATCAGTCAACTATCATCACACTTGGAAGGTTTTAAAAGATCTGAACATACATGCAAAAAGTACAACAGCGGGATTAGTGGACCCTCCCAGTAAATAAGATAGTGAAAGATATTTTATGGTAATATAGGTTGTTGTAGTGTAGTTTATTTTTTAAGTATAAGTCAGGTAAATGGGGAGCCTGCAACTTTGGACTCCCGCACAAACCTCAGGGAGGAGGGAGCGGCTGAAAAACAGCTCTGTACGAGATCTGTATCTCGTTACAGACAAAGCTGAGCCGACTCCTTTTGTCTCCAATAATTATAATCTTCTTTTGTTTTAACCTGTATGTAACTGTGTGTTTATAGAGGCAATAAACAATTTTTTTTCTACAAGCTATAAAATATAAATATATGTATTTTCTACAAGTAATAAACAGTTTTCTATAAGCCATATTTAGGTTATACCATTCTTGCTGAGCTCATACATTTTTGTTTATCTGTTATTAAATTATCAATATTGTCATACCTATAATTAAAAATAAACACAAAAGAATTAAATATGTGTTAATAAATTTTGTGAATAATTTCTAACTTTAATTCATAGGAAAGTAAATGATCTTTAAAGTGCCAAATACTAAATAAAATCTATTGTAAATAGACTTTCAATAGTATTTTTCTATATATTAATGTTAGTTATCTAAGAATTTTTGTCTTTTCATGTATTTTAATCATCAAAACTTATTTAGGTTAAAACTTCTTAAATGATATTGCTTTAGATAGCTGTAGGGATACAGTAATTAAGGCAATAATGTTATATGTTACACTGTAAATAAAAAAAATACAAATCCAAAAAATACAGTAGTAGATATAATTCCACACAACACCAATTCATCGACGTTACCTCAATTTGGAATGTTAGAACCACATCCATTTTCGTAAGTTGCGTGTCCACGTCTCCTCCGTCACTCTCGCCGGTTAACTTGTTCGCTAGAGACCCTTGCGATCTGAAACACAGCTGCTTACTCAACCTTGGACTCGGATCTGTTCCAGCATTTGATCTGTCTCGTCCAGGGAACCACCACGATGTTAACAAGTCAAATATTATAAAACAACAGAGTTGTGAACATTTATATATTAATTTCAACAAAACAACTAACAGTCAAGTGAAGTTACAAAATTTAACAATGTTAAAAAAGTTATCAATGGATTCACAATTGGACATAACAAAGGGATATTACAAAGGGACATGAGACCCATCACATGTTAATCAAGCAAGTATAACAGTTGAAATTTAAATGATTTCAAAAGGGATTCCGTATCAACATTCAGTCAAGCCCATGGAACAAGATGCATGGTGGCGTACAAAATGGAACCATCACCGACACCAAGGATGATTAAGCATTGTAAAGGGAAACGTTACGTAGTTTTTTTTAGAACATTTATAGATTACAAAGCATATACTAAAGCATAGTGTGATAGGGTGAAGTATGATGGTTGCTATTTATACTGATATTATATTAAGCAAGCCCTAATCAAGCGCGAAGCCATCTTAAATATACCTAATAATTTTGATTTTGTTCCTCATTGTTTTATGTACATAACGTATATAAGTGTGAGGAGAGAGGGATAAAATTAAAGTAGTTAGAAGATTAATGAATAAAGTGAAGGGACAAGCTGTGAGGATATAATCATAAGCTTTTGGTATTGAGGGTATTTCATAAATTACGTAATTATTATTGGATTTATCTACAGACTAGGGTTACGCTAAAGCTTACTCCAGTAAGATTTGGTAGCAAAGTTATAGCTGAATATAATTAGTTTCTCTACTTGTTATTTTGGTTTCTAATAAAGCTAATAAATCTTCTGGCTGTGTTGTGGAAGCGATAAATTATCCTTTGTTGTCTTCCTTAACGGTCCAAATACTGAGGCCACAATTACATCTAACCTCATATTGTATATCAGTAATTATAATTTAAAGCGTTATGTAACTAATGAAGGCATAAATATCAGATTTCTCTCTATTCTCCCAACATCTTTTTAATTGGGATGAAAAAAAGTTAAGATATCTTTTAGACAGTCATATTTTTATTAATATTTAAATCTGTTATGCTTTCATGAGTTACGTAAATATCAATTTTAAGATCGAAAGATAATTGAAGGATTTGTTCCCAAATTAACAGTTTTCCCTTCCTTAAGTCTATTCGGTTGTTGTTCACAGTAATCCCAATAAATGGTAATCGAATAAAATATTTTCCAATGTTTAGATAACATAAGAAAATTTCTACTTCGAACGAGGTCAATATGGATTTTAAAATGTAGCTTTCTCAAAATTTTGTTGCTACTAAATTAAATTGTATTAAATATATTGTAAAGCATAATATATACTATGCAAGCATTTTTAACTTACTTTAATTGAAAGTGTATTTATTAAAAATTATACACATTGTACCAGCCAATTTTAAATAAGAAATACTAGCAATGATATTTTAATATTACTAATATTCCCTTTAATCACTGTTGGTAAGCTTGAAATGCTTAGTTACAATTATTTAATTTATTAATACCAATTATCTTCTACTACTGATATCATCCTTCAGGTATCTTTAGTACTTAGAATAAAACTACTTTCAGTTGTTCCAACTAAATCTACAGTGGTCCTCAGGTATTGTGTTGACAACATCAGGATTGAATAAAAATAAGTTACGGGTGGTGTACAAGGGTCCCGCTACACAAGACACGTGCGCAAATTAATCTTTGATGTATTCATTACTTGTACTTCCTTTTATTTACCGTCCGGATTTGTGCAAGGGACAGAAAACCAAAAAAAGAAATCAACAAGTAGAAAAGAAATGAAGATTTAGAGAGATTTATGTTTTTATTGTATTTGAATTGTTTTGTTCTGTACTTATTAATAATGAGAGTGTACTTGTAGATTTTAAGTTCGATATCCTGTGATTCTAAATTCGAAATAGTGATTTCTCTTATCTCTAATTCTCTAACTTTTAGTATTATTAATATAAAAGTATAACTGTTAAATAAATAAAAAGAAATAAAGAAGTTGTAGATATAATATTAGGTACATATCTTTTTCTGTAACTCCTATTCTAATTAAAAATCTTTATGGTTCAAATATTCACTGTTTAAATTCTACGGTCTAAGAGTGAGGGTAAATTGTTTGAGATTATTAAGTTGTTTATTATGTGAAGAACTTAAATATAAAATATAGTTTATCAATTACGGTTTTAAGTAGATCTATTTTTCAAACAATTTATTCAGAAAACATTATTGCCTGCAGTGATATTTTCATATTTCGTTTTCATTTTATGGACTTAGAGTTTATTTTAAGAATTATCTTAAAATTTTTGGGATGAATCATGTAATATTATAATAAATATAAATCCTTGTTTTTCTTTAACTTGTATTATTAAAGCCTCCAAACGTTCGTCTTTATTCGCCAAATGGGCATTCGTAGGTATTTTTTTTACAAAATCGTGCAGCTATCCACACATATGCTAAATTAATTTACGTATTTACGACTGTTTACGATGGACGTCTAGGCAACTGCATCTGCAGCGTCTTTGATTAGTGTATATACTCATCATTTAAATGTGTATTGCAAAAATTCCAAAAAAAAACCTTTAGAGGAAAAGATGGTGGTGGATTACTCATCGGAATGGAACAAGTTTAGTATTACATAGTTTCAGTGAAAAATATTTTTGGGAGTCCCCCGTCGTTGAGGCTAATGGCCAAAACACACGTATTTTTACGCGCCGACGACACGCGTTATCCAAGTCCGCCAGTAATTAAAGTTGCGTACAGAAAGTTTTTAAATATTCGTGATCAGTATTCGCCGAATACGAATATTCGGTAAATGTCTACTATTCGGCGAATATTCGTAATCGTATTCGTTGTATCACTACTTATTTTTAGTTCCCGTCGTTGTTAGGAATTATTGTATTGTTTTTTTTTTTATAGGATAAGGGTGACAAACGAGCACATAGTCCACCTGATGGTAAGTGGTTGCTGCGGCCCATAGATATCTACATCTATCCTCGTTTGCGAATCAAAATGCAGTTGCGTTGTCACCCGTGAGGAAAAAGATGGAATGCCTCATTTCCAGTAAAAAGGGCCACCCGCACTCACCAAGCGAAACGCAGAGACCTCTACTTCACGCTGGTATTCTGTGAGTTTATACAATAGTTGTATTTAAATAGGCTTTGTATTGCACGCCTCATAACGCGAATCATTATTAGGTAGTGCTTTACTCTCGAGACGTCAAGGTCAAGCAATTTGTGCTCTTAAAATACCTCTATCATAACCATATTGCACTTATACGATAATATGGGTAGCCTTATATCAAGAAAACACTAATTAATCCATATTATATTCTGTAAAAAATCATTTTATATTGATACTTTGAAAAAAAAAAACGGTTTGAAAAAAATTTACGTCGACGTCCGGATATATTAATATATTTTAAAGTCAGGAATACAATTTAGTTTTGTCATCAAAATTAAATGAAACGCTCATGAGGTGTGCACTTTTGGATTTTCCAAACTATATAAAAAATACGCGCCGTATAGGTTGGACGTCGTCACTGATGTTAATGGTGGTTCAAATGTTTCGGCAAACTCCTTTGATTTGCAATGCCACGGATAACCATCGAATAACGCCGACATCAGCAAACATTGGGCAAATATCGACGATTAAAGGTAAATACGCGTTCCACACATTCGTGTTAGGTACTATTCGCCCAATATAGCAGTACGTTTGGAGGGCTCTTTACCGATAAACATTGACAAAGCACATTATCAATTTCATTTAACGCGACAACATTGACCATAGATGAAATTAATGACATTTTGACCATGAGACGAAATGAGACAATCACAATAAACCACACATAATAAATAACTGTTATAAGACAACACAATTGTTATTGTTGCAATTCGAAGGTTTCTAGATGAAAAAATAAAATTGGAAGTCGTAACAAAAGTGTTCCGTAAACAAAAGTTTAACAGTGGATTGATTTTATTTTCTTAACAAACATTTTCTAGTTTGTAATATAGTTCTTAAAACTGAATGAATTATAATAATACCGTGACGTCATATATTCTTGAAATATACTCAAACATTACACAGTCATCGAATTGCATCAATTCTCAAATATATATTAGGAAGTTTCTTTACGTGTGAATAGATACTGACCTGTGATTATACCGCTTGATTCTGTGTAGGCCGTATTTGGAGTCAGCCCCGCCTTTAGAGACGGGTAGGGACTCCAAATTAGCCATAAGAAGGTTTATAGATGACTTCAGTTCTTCGATGTACAGCGATTCCATTTCTTTGAGGACGAATTTCGGCATCAACTTGCGGTTCTGTTAATAAGAAATGCGTATCCATTTTCTAACACAGTTTTGTAAGTTTTTATTAAATTTGACAAATTTTGGATGATTATCATTTAAGTTTATATTTAGTTAGTAGTTACCTTCTCCATCTCATTCACTTTTTGCATTCTCCCATCTAGCTCTCTTCTTATCGCTGCTGCCTGCTCGTCCGCTGAATCCAGCTGTTCCAGATAAAACACAGCTAATTATAAAAGTGTTACCATGCCTTTAAATTCGTTGACGTGACGATCTCATGTGGTAACAGGAAACCAGTAAATGCAGGTTTTGTTATAGTATGAAAGTGATATACATGATAACAGTCCACGTGATGGTAAGTGACTTTAAAAATTGAAGGTTACAGATTTGTCGTCAACCTGAGTGTTAAAATGAAATGCTTCACATCTTGAAATTATATAGGCTCTTTTAAATATTTAAAGATTGGAAAAAACAAACAGTACATAGTAAGTAGAAACAGATGATATAAAAATAGACGGATTTTGAAACAGAAACCCAATAGAAATGGTGGTTCATAACCGCGTGGCATTGTATGGTCAGGCCTTTGTCAGGTATTAAATTTGTCATTGTCGAACGCGCGTTCACATAAGGCCTATCTGTGCGTTTTCGTGTGCCTCGCCACTAAGGCCGTTCACTTAGAACTTGTAAGTGCCCTCAGCACTGAAGCCTTTGTGGCCACGCTGGGCCGCTTCGTATCGCGTCGCGGTTTGCCAGACCTGGTCCGGTCTGATTGCGGAACGAATTGTGGGGGCACGGATAGATATTTGGTCGTCGGGTTTCTGTTCAGCAACAGGACTTGTTTGGGTGCTGCGATGTCCAGGGGGGGCATCCAGTGGAGGTTCGACCCTCCAGCTTGCCCGCACTGGGGCGGTATTTTTGAGGCGGTGGTTAAGGTTGTAAGATCTGATGGGGTGCCTAGGGTGGCCGAGGTTTTGGTTGGAGATTCGGTCTTGCCACGCGCCGTCGCGACACTATCCCGTTTGCCATTTTACTCGCGGTCATAGGTCCTTATGTCCGGGACGGGGGTTTGTTTAGGCCAAATATGGGCATTTGAAATTTGCATCCAAGAACGCTTGCCTCGGCGCCCCCCCCCCGGCGGCGTTTACGTCACCTACATACCATCGGTATCGGTGTGCCGCTTCCCAGCATTCGGCCGCGTGGGCCGGCGACAGTGTCTTAAACGCCGCGGCCTTGTCGACTAGTTGCTAGCGGTGTCGAAGAGACGGTTAAAAGTCGCACGCGGAGCCTCCAAGGATATTGAAGTTATATTTGTTTTGCAAAAGAGAGCCGTACGAGCGATTTACAATCTAAATTGTAAAGAGTCCCTCAGACAAAAATTTAAAGAAATAAACATATTAACTTTGGCATCGCAATATATTTATGAAAATGTAATGTATGTACATAAAAACACAAATAGCTTTAATAAGAATAAGGATGTTCATACCTTAAACACTAGGAACAAACATAAGCTTGTAATGCCACTTACTAGACTCCACAGAATTAGTAATTCATTTATGGGGCAATGTATACGCTTTTACAACAAAATCGCAGAACATGTTCAAAGTTTGTCAATAAACAAGTTTAAAAGTTTTATTAAAGAAAAACTGTACAAAAAGGGTTATTATAATATCAAGGAATACATGAATGAAAATAACCCCTGGCAATAAGGTGATCGCCACTATGCTGGTTCTATGAAAATTCATTTATAATTATATAAACAAAATTATTGTTAAGTGAAATTGTTTAAAAAAAAGTCCCGCTGGGTTTCTTGCTGGTTCTTCCCAGGACAGAGGTATTTTCCGAACCAGTGGTAAATAAAATAATGACTTTCAATAAGTATTATGTAATAATCTATATTGAATAAAAATCATTCTATTCTATTTTATTCTATTCCTCTGAATAGTTAAATTTGAAGTTGTCTAATCTCGTGCATCTTTGCGTGACAACGAAGCTGGTCTCATATAATGATTGTTATAACCGTTTTGAGTATTGTTTGTGACCGTTAGTAGGTTGAGCGCGACCGGTGTCGATTTAGACGGTCTAAAATTTAGAGTTAAATGTGAGCGTCGTTTCGAATTTACTATCGAATATTTGGGTCCGGTTAAGACCGCCTCAAATTGAGTGTCTGTTTTAAGCGTTACGTGACAAGAGGCCTAATTTAAGTTTTGAGTGATTAAAGGAAATGATTGCCCTTAATTTGCGACGACGAGTTGATTGTGTGTCATTTTGATATCGTAATATTAAATTCGCTTTGTCGGGGAACGCTGAAATTTGTGACTCGAGAGGAGATCGCATGTGCTCGATTATAATTTGTTGCTAAGTGAACATGGAACGTTGAACTTTGATCGACCGTTCTTTAGTTGTGCCGTGTGTCACTTGTTTAAACTCGATTAACGTGGATTTAGTTAAATTTGAAGTTAATTAAATGTACAATAAAGTTGATAAACTCATATAGTGAAATAAAAGTTGAAAGTTTCAATTGGTGAACGGCCACTGAAGGGATCGCACATTAGGAGAAAAGCAGCGCCTGAGGATCTGATGTCCGACTAAATCGGGGATGTCAGGTTACATTTTTACACACTAATACACACTACTTACATACACCTCACTCACCACCTGACTAACCTGTGGTCAACCCTATTCCGGAACTCGGTAAGTAAGTTGTTTGCTTAGCAGTCATAATAATAATCCATAGGCCATTGGGCCCCGCTCTCTGTTGCTCATCGAGGGGATCACTCATGGGCCCTGGTCCAGTCGACCTTTGTTGGGGCAACTAAGTGTGTGAACAAATTAAGTACCTAATGCTGACATAAGACGTATTTTAGAAGAGGAAGATGTGGAAAATGACATGATTTTTGAGAATAGTGGGAACGAGTCTGATCACGTCAATGTTCGGCATGACTCGGAAGAAGGCGTTAGAGAATTGGCAGCTCGAAGACAAGATAATTCAAGTAAGGACGAGGAACTGAATCAATCAATAGACAATTTTGCCATAAGATCGATTGATAATGAAAAAGACAACACAATATGGCATCGTGATCAACCGAGTGCCCACGTCCATACGAGAAGTGAAAATATTGTCTCTGGAAGGTCGTAGTAAAATTTCATGCATAAAATGTGGTGCCTTGTCTGAAATACTGGTACATACCCTTAGGAAGATACGCGATATAAGGCAGGACAAGAATGCTATAAATGAATATGCATATATAGAAATTACTTTGAATGAATTTAAAGTAGTTGTTAGACTACTATGTCACGCAGAATTATTCTAATCTGGAAGAGAAAAATTACAAGACTTATGGACGAATGATAAAACCAGTATTGCGATCTTTTCAGTGACTGAGTTTGAGAATATTTGTATCCATACTGAATTATTTGAGATTCGACGACAACGATAGGCGTGCAGTAAAAATAATTTTTGAAAAATTGGCACCTATTAGACAATTATATGGGAACTTCCTAGAAATTACCAGGTTCTTAATATTTCATTCGAAAATATGACCATCGACGAAGAGCTGGCGGCATTCCAAACAGCCGTGCAAACACTCGCCTACCCTCCAACCAAGCAACAAATGGCCATTTCATTTTTAATTTTACAAACAGCTGCGTAAGTCCGGCGGTGATTGGTCGCATGTCTTATAGCGCATGACTCAGTCGCTCGCTTCATAAGTAGGGAGCGGTTGCGTCAGCGGTCTGTATAAATAGCAGTTGTTTTGGCTCGCTGCTCACTTAGCGGTCAGCCACTGCAGATTCAACATCATCTGAAGATGCCTCGTGTAGGGGCGAAACACGTATCGTATTGTCGTCAGTGGTGTGTTTTCCCTAGTGTAGTGGTGTAGGGAGTAGTGGTGCTGGGATTAGTGGTGACGGGGATAGTGCACGCAATTGAGGGAGGGCGGGAGGTGCTCTTTAAACTAGGTAAGACATATCATTTTATTTTATCGAGCGGATGTACGCGAAGTAATTTTTTGCCAACTTTAATATAATGGACTTCCGCAAAGTAACTCTTGATTCTATTAACTATAGTGTCTTATGTTCCTAAATACAATAAAAATATGTTCATGTTATTATCATCACGATAGTGAAATAGACCCTGAAACAGGAGACCGGTAAAAACCGGCAATAATAACCTTTTATAATAAAACCAAGAGTGGGTGGATAACGTGGATTAAATCACCAGAAGGGAATTCCAAAAAGGTTAGGCATGACAATGTTAGTTCCACATCAAGCTGAAAGAAAAGCTAATTTGCGCCTGACAGTGACCCTCTGCAAAATAATCAGTACTCATCTCCGGGAACCATCTGGCCCTTGTTATTTGCGCCCGGTAAAAGAATATCGCAAATCGAAATAGGTACATTTGTATTGTGTGCTCGAATCACATGTGGCGGGTAGAAGGCAAAGGGGAGATCTCCCGCCGGGCAAGGTGTTCTGCCCGTGGAGCGGCCAACGCTCCGAGTAGTAGGTCGGAGCTATTCTATATATACTGCTTTAACTTAGGAACTTTGTTAGCGCGATTTAGGCTTCGATGTGTTTCGCTTGTGGCGCGACGATAGCGCCGCCACATCACCCCCCCTCCTTAGTTCGGAGATCGATAGTGCAGTCCGATTGCCGGTGCGTCCTTAATGCCGATGGGGAAAGCATGCTATGTGCGTAAGAGCAAGTGACGCCGGTGCGAACGATATGCCGGTGGGTAATGCATGCCGTACTACGCACTTGAAAGTGATGCCAGTGAGAACGATGAGTCCGAGCAAGTGCCAGAGTCTGCCTTATAAATCTGCGGTGAGTCGAGATGAAGACAAGTTGGACTGGCTTGCGGGAGCTGAAGACTGCAGAAGACGATACTTGGGAGTGACTGGTAGAGGTTCTTGAGAATAATGACGAACGTTTGAAGTTGTATTTTCCGAAAGTTATTGGTTGCGTGTTCAGATCACGTCGGAGTCACCACTGTGGCGGGTAGAAGGAAAATGGGAGATCTCCCGCCAGGCAAGGTGTTCTGCCCGGGGAGCGGCCAACGCTCTGAGTGGTAGTTCGGAGCTATTCTATATATACTGCTTTAACTTCGGAACTTTGTTAGCGCGATTTAGGCTTCGATGTGTTTCACTTGTGGCGCGACGACAGCACCGCCACACACATTTGCATGGAGCACGCAGACTTTCTATGCAAACAT